TCTCTCTTTCAACCATTAAAGAGCACTCATGAGCTCCTCCTCCTTCCATAACATGGTGTTGAGGGGCCCAAATTTTGTGCAAATCGTGTGCAGGTACTTACAGGTGCTGTGAGTTCAGGAGTACGACAACTGTGTGCTGCTCAGAAGCTCTCCCACCTTCCACTGGCCCTTACATTCTTTCCAAATCAACAGATTTCAGTGGGATATGAACAAGAGCATCAGCTCAGTGGGAAAGGATGGAAAGATGATAGATGGATTAGGTAGAAGAAACAGAGGTTTTCTTCACTTTCCTAGGTGCTGAAGAAAGTGCTCTGGTATCTGTTCTTAGGTTGTTAACAGCTTTGTTGGAGGAAAAGGAAAAACTCACATTTAGAAAGACAAAAATGGCACACTAAGCTGCATGTGGTGTTACCTGTGGGTAATCCTAACCCTCAGGAGGCTGAGGCAGGAAGATTGCCAAGAGTTCCAGGCCAGCCTGGGCTACAGCATGAAATCCTATTCTTAAAAGCCCCTAAGTAAAAAAAGGTACACTACAGAGAGGGCACGTGAGCAAAGCTCACTTTATATAACTATATGGAGCCAGTCACTTTCATATGATTTTATTGGCAATTTTGGATTATGGAGATTTCAGATTACTGTTTTTCCCATAAAGGCTGAGCCACTATCTTACTCCACTTAACTCTTAGCAGGTGACCTCATTTTTTCACTTTATAAAGAAAACCCTGGTAATTGGGATGAACCTCCTGTGCCTTCCAAATCCAATTACTAACGCTGATGATGATGACAACGACCAGACACTTATGCTGGGCTCTTGTCTTATTTTTCTCCCCACAACAGCTCAGGTACTAGGATCCTCACTGGGCATTTGAGGAAATGAAGGTTCAAGAAGACTTGCAGCTACACAGCTGATAGGTTATGAAGCCAGAGCTCAAGGCTAGGACAGTGTCTGTTTACATTTTTCAACTATATTATTTACCTCCAATTCATTTCCTTCTTTCCTCTATCTTTCCTTCCCTCTTAGAGAAAGAGATTGGAAAACACGTCTTTCCCTCTTTTCCTATTCTAGTCCCCGAGGAAACAATAGACATTCCAGAGAAACTGCCATTAATCCCTTTATAAGTATTACACGTGAGAGACCAGGAGGGAGATGACAGGAAAAAAATCAGAGTAACAGAATGGAATTGTTATCAGCAATAACAGTTTGGAAATGTCTTTTTTATTCATGTCAGTATTTAGATAAATACTAAATTGATATTATATACCCAAGTGGTTGTAATCTACATCAAACAATGCCTAGAGAGTTAGGTTATAGATATAGAAATCATTCAACTCAACAAACTAAGGCATTCATTCATTCAACATTTATTGAATATTTAATATGGGAAAGATACCTATTTTCTTCACTCTGGATTGGAAGGGATTTGTTGAACAACCACACATACAATTTGAAAAGATCTAGAATATGTTATCATAACTTTATCTGGAAGGCTGTGGGGAAAGTCAGAGGCAAGATGAGATTTATGACTTCAAGGAGCTTTGGATCTAGTTTAGGGGTGAGAAGATCAGAAGGAGATGGATAAAAACACAAATGAATGTAATAATACAAAGTCTTTGGTATGTGCCATAATCTCTATGAAAATAAAATGTGATGAGTGTGGGTGTTAGAGAGAGAAATTTGACAGAGGGAAAGAGAAATTTGAAGAGAGAGAGAGAGAGAGAGAGGGAGAGGAGCTGTCTGCTGGAATCCTTGTTATTAGCTACTGATAACATCTGCTTGGAGTGGTGGTGCATGTGGTATCTCAACACTGGAGCCAAGCTTGAGCTTCGCTGTTAAGATCTTATTTCAAAACAAAACAATAAAGAATTATTAGCAACATCAATGACAGTTGGAATCATGAGATTAATGTCCTTGGAGAGGTGGAAAGGGGAAGGGGTTGCAGAAAAGGAGGAGAGGAGAAAGCAGAGAGGAAAGAAGAGAAACAGGAAAAGGAAGGGAGACTTCTTTGAGGAAGGTTCACATTTGCTGGAAGAACAACAAAAAGGAGCCGGGGGAGGAGTCAGAAAGAACATCCTGAGGAATAGCAGAAGCGAAGTAATGCTGTGCCGCAGAGACCAAAGTGAAGAAGTGGTTCGGAAAATAGAGCGAGTCTGGTCTGTGGTGCTTCATTTCTTTTTTGCCTGGGGCAGTAGAAGCTTCCGTTGGGGAAATCGGGGAAAGTCTTTTCCTGAAGTAGCCACTGGGTGGCAGTGGCGGTGACAGCAGCTGCTGCTGCAGCCATGTCCAGGAACAAGCTGAAGCCCGGCACAGTTGGCAGGTGAACCCCTCACAGAATTAAACCAGCATGAAGCACTAGCGGCTGGGAACCAGCTCAGGCCAGGGTTTTTCTCCTGTGGCACTTCTTCATGACTGTACACCAAGTCTCAAGCCACACTTCACCTCACCTGAAGAGGCCAGGCTCATCCCTGCGAATGAATAATGTGAAAAGACTATTACAGACTTGGCGCTCAGCGGTTAAGAGCACTGGCTGTTCTTGCAGAAGACCAGGGGTAGGTTTCCAGCATCCCCATGGGGGCTAACAAGTCTGTAACTCCAGTTCCAGGGGATCGCCCTCTTCTGTCCTCTGAAGGGGATTGCATGACACCAGTGCACCAGCATACAAGCACACAATGTTCACATATACATAAAAGTAAAAAGCAAACGAAACGAAACAAAACAAACCACCACCACCACCAGCAACAACAACAACAATTCATATTCTAAATGTTTGGTATTACTATCCCATTTCACTGATGAGAAACAAGCCACAAAGTAGTGCCTAGAGTCACACAGATAATCATCAGAACAAGGATTTAAACTCAAGTTCATCTGGCTCCAAACATGTAACCTTTTTATGCAACATCTCGGCAGCCATAAAGCCCAGGACTCAGGTTATATCCGATTCTCCACTTCTACCTTTATCCCAACTTGCTACCCTTCTATAGGGCAGGGTCCCCACGTTCCCCCAATTTGGCTTTGTAGGCCTGCCAAAAGATCTAGATCCCAGATTCTAGAGTCTCCTTTGCAGGCCTGCCTCCTGTTCTCCCTCCAAGGATTCGGCTGGGTCACATTCTTGGAACCTGAGGATCAGGTTCATCACTTCCCAGCTCCGAGTAAAGAAGATTCTGTTCCTGCCTGCTCACCCCTCCCAACGAGTACTGCTCACCTCATCCTCCAGACCCAGTTTACTTCATGTCCCAACACAGTGATGCTTACAAAGCCCGAGTTAGCTATAGAAGCTCCAGACCCACAGCTGCTGATAATTTAATGTTTGTTAGCATCAGGCTTTCAACAATCGAGGCTTATTCCCTATGCCTCCTCTACTTTATCGAGACCTGGTTCTCTTGGAGTGATGGAGAGATATGAGGTGCTGTGTAGGAAGGGTAGAATGTGTCAGAGAAGTTTGTTGGCTAGCATCCATAGGGAGGTATGAACCACTTCCTGGCCATCTGTTCTCATATGTGTCATAAGCATCTCAAAACGTATATGCTGAAAAATGAACTTTCCCATCTTTCCCCACGCATACTCCTCTCATAGGCTTCCCTAGCCCTGTTAATAGGAGTGCCTTCTTCTAACTGTTCAGGCAAGAAGTCTTGGAATCATTTGTTTTAATAGAGTCTCACTATGTAACCCAGGATAGCCTTGAACTTGCAGCAATCCTCCTGCCTCAACTTCCTAATCCCAAGTGTTGGCATTGCAGGCATGTGCCACCACGAGTCACCTTTTACTCCTCTCTTCCTCCTATACCTCACATCAGTAAAATTTGTCTCTGCTTTTGAAATCTATCCAGAATCTGACTATATGTACACCTTTGTCATTCTGGTCCACAGGACCATCATCTGCATTGTCAATAGTGTCTTACCTGGTCTTCCCTGTGCCACCGGCCCTGCAATCTGTTCTCAACAGGGAGATGTCTGGTGAGTCTTCTAGAGTGTAAGACAGACCATAATACTTTTCTCCTCCAAACTCTTGATGGCTTTCTGTCCACTCTGTAAAGTTAAAGAATCCTTACACTGGCTTGCAAAGGCCTTTATGATCTGGTCCACAAATGCTCTGTCCTCAAATTCTGTTTCCCTTCCCTCATAACATCTGGTCTTTATTCAAGTAACCCCAATATTCAAAATAGCAAATTCCTCTTCCATACCTCCCTTCGCTTATTAATTTTTCTTTATAATAATGATCACATTATATATTTCACCCACAATAGTATGTAAGTCCTATTAAGTTAGGAGGTTTTAATTTCTTTTGTTCTCTCCTAGTGAACTCTTAGGGCCTAGAACTGAAGGCTCTCAGGAAATGTTTGCTGATCCTTTCCCAGATCTAAGTCAGTAGCTTAGAGGAACAAGTTATCATGCCATTAAGTATGGATGTCAGAGTATGGTCCATGGCAGGCTTGCCTGAGTTCAAATCTTGATCTTACCACTAATTAGCAAATAAAGGTATCTGTGCCCGAATCTTCTCATCATCAAAGTAGGGTCAGTAATAGAACCTATTTGATAAAGAGATTGTGGAGTCATTAATAGGTATAAAGTCCTTTGAACAGTGCCCAGCACATAATAAGGATTAGGTAAACATTTGCTCTAATTAAATGCATACAGAGTTAAGCTGTATATCAGTGGTTTAGATTTTCTAAAATCTTTCAGTGTATTGATTTGCAGTTGTGCATGTTAAAAATTCATTTCCCATGTTTCTACTTCCACAGACTCATATGATCTTCCTCTAATTTAGTTGATCTGGCTCTTTATAAACTTGGATGTTTCCTTGTGTACACAATCATTTTGAAGCTGTTAAACAGTAATCTCACTGGGCCCCAGTTTCCCAATCTGTATGCTGAGTAGGCTGGACTAGATAACATCCAAGGGTTTTTCTAGCTCTGCCAGTCTCTTGGGATGGGACGGGAGGAGGGACAGGCTCCACCCTGAGCACCACCCCCTCGAATAGGCCCTCTGGCTGCCAAGAGGAAGGGTGACAGAGTCAGCTGGGCTCATCTGCAAGGGCACCAGGTAGGAGATGTGCCAAGGTTCCTGGGCAAGGGTGGCGATGGTGCTCCTGGACTGGAAGTAGGAGGGGGCAAGGTTATAGGGGCAAATAGAATACAGAGGCTTAGGGTCAGGGAAAGAGGAGAGATTAAGGCACTGTGGGGAGTGAGGCCCTCGTCACCAGGACAGAGCTGTGACAGTGAATTAATAACAATTTGGGCCTGGGCATTTCCCCACTTTAGATCATGCTGGTTAGCCTCCACCCTCTTCAGCTAGCTAGGCTCTGCAGGTCAGAGGAAGCTGCAGAGCAGCTCAAAACCACTGACTGCTCTCCTGAGCCCGGGCACTGCCTGTTGCCCACCATGCCTTCTGCTGGCCCAAGGGACCTGGGGTAGGGGGTGGGCTGGCCTGAGTTGCATTTGGATGTGCTCCTTCCAGCTCTCCCTGGTGCTTAATCATTGCTCTCCTTGGTGCTTAATCATTGCTTTCCCTGTTCTCTTTTTTGTCCTAGGTCAAGACTTGAAAACTAGGGAAATCCAGCCACTCACTTCTGCCCTTTCTACCACTAGGGGGCAATGACCAGTGTGGAATCCTTGTTATTCACATCACTAGGCTCCAGCCCAAGTTCTGGAGATGGTGAGGTGGAGCTTAACTGCCAGTTTGACGAGGACTTCAAGTTCATCCTGCTGCCTGTGAGCTATGCAGTTGTCTTTGTGCTAGGCCTGGGCCTCAATGCCCTGACCCTCTGGCTGTTCCTCTTCCGCCTTCGACCCTGGGATGCAACCACCACCTACATGTTCCACTTGGCGTTGTCAGACACCTTGTACGTGCTGTCACTGCCCACCCTCGTCTACTACTACGCAGCCCACAACCACTGGCCCTTTGGCACTGGGTTCTGTAAGTTCGTCCGCTTTCTCTTCTATTGGAACCTCTATTGCAGTGTCCTTTTCCTCACCTGCATCAGTGTTCACCGCTACCTGGGCATCTGCCACCCACTTCGGGCACTACGCTGGGGCCGCCCTCGCTGTGCAGGCCTTCTCTGTCTCGCTGTTTGGTTGGTGGTAGCCGGCTGCCTCCTGCCCAACCTGTTCTTTGTCACAACCAGCACCAAGGGATCCACCATCCTGTGCCACGATACTACTAGGCCTGAGGAGTTTGACCACTACGTGCACTTCAGTTCGGCAGTCATGGGGCTGCTCTTTGGCTTGCCCTGCCTGGTCACTCTGGTCTGCTATGGGCTCATGGCCCGGCGACTGTACCGACCGTTGCCGGGAGCTGGACATTCATCTTCTAGGCTACGTTCTCTCCGCACCATCATTGTGGTGTTGACTGTCTTTGCTATCTGCTTTGTGCCTTTTCACATCACCCGCACAATTTATTACCTGGCCAGGCTATTAAAAGCTGACTGCCAGGTGCTTAACATTGTCAACGTGGTCTACAAAGTAACTCGGCCCCTGGCCAGTGCCAATAGCTGTCTGGATCCAGTGCTCTATTTGCTCACAGGGGACAAGTACCGCTGCCAGCTCCAGCGGCTCTGCAGTGGTGGTGGTGGGCCTCAGCCCCACTCAGCTGCTTCCTCCCTGGCGCTGGTGACCATACGTGAGGAAAGCAGCAGCAAGTGGGCAGTCACTCACCGGGACAGCAGCTACTTTGCCTGTAGGGGAGACAGACTGTAAGTCTGCACACTGGATGTGAAAGGAGAGGGGCTAAGTTCAGGACAGAGGGGAGGGAGTCTGTTAGTGACACCTGGTAAGTGCATCAGCTGCCCTCTCCTTTTTAAAAGCAGAAGGTTGAAGCAGTTACTTCTCTGTCTCTACTTCTTTCTCTGCTTCTGTCCCTTCCTGGGGCCACTGAGCTGATTCTGTTTCCAGAGCCTGCAGGGCTTCCTCCGTGCTCTTTGCCCATTCTGGTTCCTCCAGGTCCTCCCACAGCATACATTTCTTCAGCTAGAGTAGAGAATTCATCTAGAGGGGTGAAGGGTGGGACAATATCAAGATTGGTTCGATGTATATGGTGGAAAGACCCAGAATCAGGAAGCAGGGGCAGTAACATATCACAGATGCCCTATGTAGAACCCACACCCACTTCCTGGTTCCCTCTTGAAGACAAGATAGTCTTGCTTGCCAAGATGTTGAAATAGGGTGCAAGGCCTGTGAGCCTACGTGCCAGAGCCCCACATGCAGCTGGAAGCCTGGTGCTAATTGAAGTGCTGAGCAGCCTTGAGTGAGAGTCCTGCCATTGGGTGATGACCCTGATGAGCCTTGGGAGGCAGGGCCTAGGCTGACAGCAGCCTTTGGAACAGGAAGGAGACTAGACCTCCTCTATGATTGCTAAGAATACATTTAATAGCTCCCTGGTGTTTAATGAAAGGAAGAGTGGACAGCTCTGACTGGGAGTGAAGGAGGAACTCTTGAAATCATGGCTCGAAGTTCCAGTACAAATGGACAGAGCAGGTTTGTACAAAGGATAGGGTAGTGGCAGGAATAGCTTTCCAGAATCAGCTCTTCACAGATCTCTCCCCTTTCCTCAGCTCTGGCTAGATAAATGATCAACTTCTCATCTGCTATTTTTGAATCAGCCTGTAGGATTTCAAGGCCAGGGTGGGACACTGGGACTAGGACAGTTCGTCTCAGTTTCCGACCTGTTCACTCCTCCCCTTTCCCAGTGCTGTCTCAGCACGTAGGGGCTTGGAGGAGCTGGTGGGGGTATGGAACAGGGAAGCTAAACCCTGAGCCTTGGGAAGTAAGAACTTCTGAGCAGGCATTCATGGAAAGGACAATCACATTTTCAGGCCTTCTTCCTCTAAAATCACCTTATAGCCTATTGGTTTTCTGAGTCATACCCTAGCCTTTGCTGACCTTCTAATCAACTAGTGATACCAATTCTTACTGGCTTCTAGGGGTCTCGCTTTCTAGAGAGTAGGGGGAGAGAGGTACAGAATGAAACAACTTCAATGTCCATCTGGCTCCTTTCCATTCTTTAAAGGGCTTTCTCTTACTCCTTCAGTGATCAGGAGTTCTTCCATTAGGAGTAAATGAACTGGCCTCTATTCTTAATAGGCTCCCAGTCTTATGACCATGGCCTAGACTGTACCCTCTCTCTGATTCCTTTGGCCACAGACTCCTTGCTCATCACATCTCTTACCAAGCAGCCTCACTCAGTGAAATTGCTCTCTTCATTACAACTCACTCAGCCTCCTCCATTTGTCAGCCCATAAATCCTAGCTGCTTGTTTAGATGAACTGCCCAGACTTCGCCATCTGCTTCTTTAGCTCTGCCTTCTCTTGCACTCTAGCTTCAGTTCAATGCCTTGACTTCGACTTGAGCCAATCTTTTCCCTCCTGGGACTGAACGCTGACTTGACCTGAAACTTCATGCCCTGGAGCTTCACCTAAAACGTCATTCTTCTTTGCCAACCACATTTCTAGTGAATGTTCAGTAGCCTCTTTCTTGTGCTTTCCACCGTCCAGAGGCCCCGAACCCCATTCTACCTTTGTGAATCCTCAGAATTTCCTGACCTCTTGCAAAACTGAAGACCTAACACCTCAACTTCTATTTTCTTCATTTACAACTCTGCTTCCATATCTGCTCTGTCTTTCTCACCTTTTCCCCATGGTCCTTGGATGAGGGACTCTTCTTTCTTAGTCACTTATCTATCTCTCCTTCATTCCTGTCAGTTACTTCCATCACTGATTTCATACTATCTGAAAAACAACAAAACCAAAGCATTACTACTCACACCTTCACCTACCTGGCTGCTGTCTACTATTATGTTCATCTACACTCATTTCACTACTAGATTTCCAGGAAGAATTTTATAAACCCCATTTACTCACAAAGCACTCCTTAACTCTCTGAATCTAGTTTCCTTCCATTCTCCTGCACTTAGAACACAAATTACCTCTTCAGCAAAACCTTTAAGTTTATTTTCTTTACTTTTTTCCTCTTTGATCTCTCTACATCAGTTGACTCTATTTCATGTCCTCTATAATTTTTTTTTTGTCTTTTTGAGACAGGATCTCCCTGTAGCCCCAGCTGTCCTGGAACTCACTATGTAGACCAGGCGGGCCTTGAACTCACAGAGATCCGCCAGCCTCTGCCTCCCGAGTGCTGGGATTAAAGGCGTGCGCCACCATGCCTGGCTTATAATTTTTTTTTAAATAAAGAAAACATTTAAAAAAATCTCACTGGAGGCAGATCCCAAAGGAAATATGAAGGGAAATAGTCAGTTAGACTTTCAAACACATGTACCAGTTTTCCATGCTCAATGCCACGTTCATATATACATACATACATATATATTAGAAGTATAACCATAATGTATATATCTTTTAAAAGTCTGTTTTAAAAACTTTTTATGGAGTAGTGGCGCATGCCTGTAATCCAAGTAGTTTGGAGGTAGAGGCAGGAGGATCATAAGTTCAAAGCTAGCCTGGGCCACATAGTGAGACCCTGTCTGAAAACAAACAAACAAAATCAATTTTTACTGTAAACATTCTTCACATTGATGCAGTCTTTCATATTTATTATTTCTACAGCCACATGCAATTACTTCCATCAAATCATATTTTATTTGACTACTCCCTTATTACTGAACATTTAGGTAGCTCGGTTTTTCTGTGCTTTTAATTCCTTAGTGTGTGTGACTTTCTCTTCTTTGCAATTCTATCTCTAGGACAAGTTCCCATGAGCAAGATTACCAGACCAAAGGGCATGAATATTTTTATGGATCATTATTTTAAAAATGACCATATAAATTTTTATTGTCACAATGATGTATGACTATTTTAGTTCCCTTGCAGTTCTAGCATCTGAAATTATAGGAAATCTTTTTGGCTGTTAAAAATTTAACTTGTTAATTTAATTTCTTTGCTCACTTATGGGAGTGAACACTTTCTCTTATGTTTCCTATTTGCATCCTTCTCTGACTACTATCTTGGTGGTATTCTTAGGTCTAAATATGATATTTATTTAATATGTGTTAGTCTTTTGTTATTTTGACATGTTTAACCCATCTATTATAACATCTTATTTCCTTATTTTATTCCCTAGATTTAGAATCTCTTTCCTCTTGCTTTTCCTTGATTATTTCCTCTCTGTTTCCTTTGCTGTCATGGTTCCATCTTGGGACTTGCGATGTGCGGGTTATTTAATCTTCTTCCCCTATCAGAGTGTTGATTTCCTCTTGGAGAGAGCAAATTGCAAGTGAACACAATTCAGCTGACTGTTAGTCCTTGAGTCTACCTCAGAGAGCCTGAGTTCCTTTTCATTTTCCAAATAAGAAAACAGATACCGTGAGAAGACATGTCTGTGACTTTCTAATCCAGTGTCACAGTAGGAACTAGACCTTGAACTGGTTCCCTTGACTCCTTCCATTCTACCATGCCAACTTGGTTCTAGGCCAGACTAAATCTTCACTTCCCCACTGGATAGGTTCACTTAGATCTTACATTGTTGCTTCTTAACCCATAGTGTCAAAACTGAAACTCCCTGAACTAGTTCCCCTACTCATCTTGCTGATTTCTATTCATGCCATCTTCTTTTTTCAAGTTACCTAGGCTCTGAAACTCTTGAGCAAGATTCCCATGAGCAAGATAGCCTACTCTTCTCTCTTCCTAGTGTGCCAGGCTCTGACATTGCTTTTTTTGATTTACCCATTCCAATTGGCCTTCTTCAATAGTTCCAAAGCTCCCGTGCTAATACTAGCTCTTTTCATCTTCTCCCTGACTGAATTTCATAGGATTCTACCTGGTCCTTACCTCCAGTCTCTTTTCACACAAATGAACCCTATATAACCCACATTGCCAGATCAATCTGCCCAACTTTCAGAGTTTTACTCTTTTACTTGCAAATCTTTCATGGTTCTCTATTGTCTACAAGTCAAAATACTTTAGGCAGAAATTCAAGAGGGCTTTATCAATCTTCCATTCTCCCTCAGTAAAAAAGCTCTCTTCCCTAGGTACTGTTTGTGTGTGTGTGTGTGTGTGTGTGTGTGTGTGTGTGTGTGGCTTAGAATTGAACTCAAGGCCTTATGCATGCTAGGCATGTACTATACCACTAAGCTCCATCCCTAGATTTCTCTAGGTAAATCAGTCTCTTCTGTTTCCAGATAAGACTTGCACTTTCTTACCTTTGTACTTTCACTGCCCCTGACCCCGGTACTAAAATGTCCTCTCTTTTTTCTCCAGCCGTCCTTTTCCTATTCATTTTACAATGGCCAGGCTTAGGTCTCACATCCTCTCTGAGACCTTCTCTGCTGACTCTTGCCCACAGTGATCTTCCTGATGTCTTTTACTGTGATGATGGTCTATATCAGTCAGTTGGCACTTTTAACATCTCTTGATATTATGTACACTACTTCCAATCGTCAGTTAACTCTCCATGCATGTTTGCCTGTTGTCTCTACCTACAAAACCCTTGAGTTAATGTAATATAAAGGAAAGAGTATAGAACTGAAAATTAGAACATCCAAATTTGAGCTTTGATTCTGAAAATGGGGCTCAAATGTGTCATGATGGATGAATCATTCAAATTCTCTGAGCCACAATTTTATAATTTGTGAAATGAAGATCGTTATCTTTAGCTTTATGTAATTCTTCAGATTATAGTGAAGCTTTGTAAAGCTAGAGTGCTACATGAATAAAAATAGTTGTCATCATATCATTCTACTTGTTTAATAAATGGTGCTGGATACATTTTTCTGAATGATTACATGCTAGCAATTCAGTTTATTATTTCTTCTCCTGGGTATATTTCCACTTTAAGATGCTACTGGAATCCCAAGGTATTAATGACAAAAGGACTTCAGGAATAGTTGGACTGGGGGAGGCATTAGAAAGGTGTTTTGAAGGGAAGTAGGCCTGTC